GTAACATTGATTGACTTCTCTGTAATATTGCAAGCTGCAAATCTATCCGGCAAGTCGTGCGTTAAGCCTGAAATCGATGGGCTACGACCAGTCAATTGTTCGAGCGTGGAACACCGCGAATCGATCTCTCGTACATGCATTCGCGAAATACAGCGAATTTCGAAATCTTGTTTTTTTTTTTTTTGTTGTTTTCGTCTCTTCCATCGAGCGCGACGCACTCGATGCGTCGATTCGCAATGACAAAGCAATGACAAAGCCTGATTTTCACGCGGAATCTCACACAATTTCCGAATGCGTCCGGTTACGAGTGAAATAAAATCAAACGAAAGCGGATTGTTTCGTCCATTTTGAAAGAAGAAGTTTTTTCGTTTTGTTCGTAACTCGATATATTTTTGAAGTCGTTGGAATTTACGTTACGAGTTTTTCCTCTCGCGCTGCAAGCAATCAAGTCACACGACGCGATGCGACTTTACCGTAAAGCTTACAAGTTGATTGCATGAATTGTTTCATCGTCTCTAAATATCACACCTTTATCAGCGATCTAATTCGTCGCTTTACGTGAAAAAATTTAAGATACTTGAAAGAAGATATTTAGAAAAATAACATTTCACGAAGACATGAAAATAACATTTCACGAAGAAATTCAGAAATTTGCCTTGAAAAATAATGATAATTATAGGGACATATATAGATTTCATATATAATTATATTGAAACATTTTTAAATGTATTTATAGAATGATTTGTAATTGTCTCTCTTTTGATCCACAATGCGTGATGAACGAATCAATACGTAACCAAAGAGCGGATATATTAATTATAAACTTGAAGTATTATCCGTTTAGAACAACAGTTGATAGTTTGGCCGGATGAAGCTATCCATCAATATGCGTTGATACATGCACAATGGATTATATATTATCGTCATCATGTGTGTGTCAGCATCATTTATTTGCGATATTGCTCTTGCATACACCGTGCATACTACATACTCGTATTTTTTCCACAATTTTGACACAACGCATTCTATTTGAATATTTTTTGTAACAATATTTGCTTGCGCAAAAAACGACAAACTATTTATATATTGTACGCATATTAAATTTTGCATGAATGTTCATTTGTTATTATCTTGTCTTTTCTACGTAATTTACCTGAAAATGTTCAAACTCGCTTTGTATCGGTGGCTTTAATTTAGCCTGTCATCTGAACTGATTAAACGTCTGGCGCATTATTAGTTTCAGACTTGTGAGGAATTTGTATCGATTTTCGATTAAATCGGTATTCATTAGTTTGGAGTACATCATAAAAAGTGAAAAAAAATAACTGCTTAAATTCCATATAATAATATCGTCTAATTAGTGTTATGTGAGGATATCAGTGTTCAGGAATCTCCGAGATAATGCAAATAAAGTTAATGCAAATAAAGTTAAAATTGTGAAATAAGAACCCTATTGCATAAAATGCCCCGATAATATTAGTGTTACATCAATATGATAATCTCCCACTGAACAGTATATGTGTAATATAACACATGTAACAATTGCATTGTTGAACAGAAAATAGTATTGATATTATGTTACTAATAGTTCGTGTTTATTGAATGCATTTTTTTTTTATCTTTTACATTTAATATGTATCTTTTATCTATTTAATTTGTGTTTTGAAAACGTGGAGCGTCGACGTGAATGATAAATATAGCAAGCTTTGCATATATTTACGAAAATGTAATAAAATCTGTGTTTAATGTTTGTTAATCCAGATCGCCATGTCGAATCGATGATAATTTTTGTTGCAGAGGAGCATCCAGCCGCGATGCATCACGGGGATGGAAGCTCATCGTATAGCAAGACATGGCCGATTTGTTTTATAATTTTAGTAATAATTAATATAATGTTTATATAAGATGAGAAGTACGGAAACACAATTTACCCCGACACACACGATGAAACGAGCGCGATCGCCGAGAATCGCGAATTGCCTATTTAACGTCGTCAACGTTTCTTGGATAAATTTGTGCAGGGTAAAACCGAACATTACCATTTACATTAAAAGAAAAGAAAAAAAAACGAACTTCCGTGACCAAAAAATTTTCAAATATCAGCACGGCACAATAATCGGTAAGAGCGTAGTATTTTGTTAACGTATATCATCAAGAACAAATAACTTACGACGTCAAAATTTATTGTATTATTTGTAAATAAATTTATTGTATGTACATATCAATAAAACGATTGTCTTTATCTGGATCGTTTGGTATTTACATGAGGCTGTCGAATCGTCGTAAGTTTCTGTCAAGATTACACTGATTCTGAATCGATCTGCTGGAACAGATAATTATTTTATATTAGATTAAAATTTTCAAATATTTTATTTTTTTATATAAATATGCTAAATAAATAGGTTTTTCTGATATTCTTTAGAAATATACGACCATCAGCGACAAGATTATGCACCATGTTGCAAATTTCTCGCAAAAGTGTCGTGTCAATCACGCGACTGAGGAAGTTTACCTCGTTATATTTCGACGAAGTTTATATCGCTATATTGGATAACGTAGCCAGCGCATCTTCAAGCCATGCGATTTTCCTCAGGGATGCGGAAAGAAGAGATGTCAGCGCGCGCGGACAGCGCCTCGCTAATGACAACATTAATTACACTGCGCTATCTCGCGCTCGTTAATTACGGCACGGTGCTAAATTTAGCGTGAAAAAATACGGCGTGTAAATTTCGCGTTCAATCGCGTGGCGTTACCCTCGATTAATCAGAAACGAAAGTCTTCCTTCAGCTCCTTCAGATCTATTACCTTGAACATCTCTTTCTTATCAATATTGGCACAGTCGTTTAAATTTTAGCACATATTCAAAATTAAATGCACATGAGAAAAATTCTACATATTGATATATTTTATATGAAATAATTTAAAATTTTCACGAAATCAAAAATCGCCCTTGATTGTATGATGTCGATTAAAAGGACTTTACATCAATTATTAGCCGTGGTGCGTCGAATGATTCAAATGATTCAATAAGATCCACCACGTTTGGTTCTTTCAAGCGTAGAATCATGGGACAGTTCTTGCACATTGCCGCTTGCTCCAGGGACCGCAAATGTTTGCTCTCCTTTCTTTCCCCAGCGTCGATTCCGACGGCCGCTCGTGCAGTGTCATCGACTTGCCAGCCACGAAAAGGTAGAGACCGAGGTAAGGCTGAAAGTATGTTCTGCTTGCAGACCAGACTGAAACCACCCGTGTCGGCGCAAGCGTTCGCTGACACGTTCCATTATCACTGTAAGCATCGGCAAAGCGACCGAAGGATTTCCACCATGCACCATTATCACCAAAATCACTTTTAACTAGATCACGGTGATGGAGTTTACAGAAAACAGATTAATAGATTAGGAGAAACCGTGCGTTGTCGCATATTGGTTTTCTTAAATCTCCATATGCCAATTTGCATGAATGAGATCGAATGCCCTTATTTATATTTTGTATCATGATATTGTATATATTATTTTTAAATCTATTATTATAGCTTCAATTTTCAAGTTTTAATTGTGTTGTGATAAATCATTGTAGTATTGATAACTTATCAACATTTAAATCTGTACACGAGAGTAGAAAAAGATTTTTGTGATTTATTCGTGATACTGAAAACTGACATATTAGTATTTAATATTTCTAAATGTGAAAAAGTGCTCTTTCTATTTATTTTTAATTATTGAAGAATTAATTTGAAATTATTAATTTTTGCAATATACATTATTATTGCAAGAGAGTTAACATTTTGATCCATTTATAAAAGTTGAATATTTTTTATTTGATATAATATTGCGTTCGACAGATTCAGTAAATTAAATATTCAAAAATGAAATATATAGAACGGCAGAACGATTTTATTAATTAATATAAACGGCGTATATCAGCTATGGTGCATATAATTTTTTAGGAAAGTAGGATATTGAATTTTATGATAAAAAACTGATATGAAGGAGCAAAGAATAGGGAGAATAGAATTCTTTTCAGCTATAGAATGTTAGAGAATTTGAAAGGCTTATTATGTTATCCAATGCCATCCAATCCAATTCAGTTCTATTGTTTAAATTTATTGATAGTCATAATAAATGAATTTTATTATTACAGATTCAATATTTTCAATTGATTGAATTATCTTTCTTTTTTTTTATTGACTTAACATCTATGGTATTAAAATTAAACTTTATGTTATAAAACTATTGGTATCTGCGTTTCAAAGATAAATTTATTTTATTATCTATTATCGTCAATGTAACACATTTGTGTAAAATTTTACGCTTCCATAAACTTTTTTGTTTTATAAAATATTTTAATATATATGAATGATAGAATAAATATGCTACATAAAAAGCATTTTACAAATTTGAAATAATCAAACAACAATATTTATTTTAAACAATTAAACTTAAAGTGATGAAATTATTTTTATTAGTTCAGCTACTTTAATTTGAAACTCCGTTATTGAAAAAAGTAAAATTGCGAAAGTACGTTAAAGACATAACCGGCGCAATCAGGTGTTTAGCTATTTCGGGCTCGATAATTGCCCAGGAAATCTCGCTAACGCGGTTAATTCCTCGCGTAAATCCATCACGCGGGGCACGTGGCGCTTATCGGCGTTACGTCGCCGCGAATTATGGCCACTGTTATCATCCATGGCAAACCGGGAGGGTGTCGTCTCGGGTCGGCTGTCCGGACGACACGTAACTCGTCTAATCGTAAACTGCGATTATCGAATACTTGCAATTTCTGAAGTTTATGCGAGACAAGGTGTTGATAGCACGCGGATCGTCCGATTTTATCATCGTCCGTCCATATCATCATTCGCCTCCTCTTCATCATTTCTTCATCACTAAAAATTTTCTTTCACAATTTCTTATAACTTTCTCATACTTGTTCCTCTGCTCACCTTTTATCAAGCTCTCCAGCATATTGGAATAAAGACATTTTGTCACTTTAGAGCTGAGTGGATGCATATGAGAATTAATATCGATCAGCCAAACTGATCATATCTTCGGTCAACATAAAGTCTGCGCCATACTATTCGAAGCTGCAATGGCGTCTTTCCATGAGATTCTGCCAATATATCTTAAGCGTTTGAGAAGTAGGGGTAAGATGCACGAAGAAAAGGATGAACTATATTTTGTGTCCCTGCGTTCTTTTTCAGCAGGGACACAAAACATAGTGCTCTTTTCTTTATGCGCCTTATCCCCACTCCGCAAATAAGTCGTTCGGACTATGGTCCAGATTATATCTATGGATTTTGCGCTGTGAGCATCACCAGAATAATAGCCTCTGCTATTTTTGAATACGTCAAATTATAATGTGATTTACTTTTTTATGACTAATGAGTCTGGAAAAGTAAATATCGTGTCTTAATTTCTTATCTAAGCTACGAGTAATCTTTTATCAATTTGATGATAAAAATGCAAATGTTCTCTATATGTATAAGTTTTTGTATAAATTTTATTTGTATACAGATTATTATTATTATTTTAGATATATTTTATTTATTTTATCTACTTTTATATTGAGTTTATTAAAAATAATGAAGTAGCATTATATGTATTTTGGGATTTCTAATTAATTTTTATAACGGGTGACCTCAAAGAAATAAGTTGTAAATCAATAAAGTTATTATAAATTAAAATAACAGAGCTACACTGATTGCAATATAACATTCAGGAATGTTCTGTGTTTTATTTTTAAAAATAGAACGGGTCACAATGTCATGGTGGAAACGGATATCACAATTTAGAATTTGCATAACTAAAAGTGTGAGATACGTGTTACGCAGACAAAAATAATTTAAGTGTATTTTTAATTCAGATGAAACGAGTTGAATAAAACATATTTTGTATGTATTGGACAAGTTTTGTGGAAAAAACTTTGTATGGTAAATTGGAAACATTCGTAGTGATGGAGAAGTCCACTCAACGTCAATAATCAAAATGGAAGCTCGTATTTCATTGAAAAGTACAATTATCGTAAATAAACTATGGCTTCGCAAACAATCCTATCTTTTTTCACAAATATCGGCCTTTAAAATAAATTAAAAATATATTGTAATTTTTTATATTTTGTATTTTTACGTTAGAAAAATCTTTGCCTATGCAATCTGTTAAAAATCATTTGAAAAGATATGTATTTCTTTCAAAAAATGATCTCCAAATGGCTATCGATAAAAAAACGTTTGATGTTACAAAACCTAATGACGCAATCAAGTAAGTAAATAACAAAATCGATAACAGATTAAGATTAACAATTAAGTAGTAATAAGTATTAAAATTATTAAAATATATTAAAAATTTATGCAAAATTAACAAAAAATATTATAGAATAGTACACGCTACTAATTTTTTATTAGAAATGAACATTCACAGAAATAATAAAATATTTTTATTTTTATCATTCTCTATTCTTGAATATTTCAATTCCGGATATCCGATTATCATTAAGACGCCATCTGCTTCAGCTACAGTGACAAAGATAACCGACGGCAAAGTCATTATCGTTAAAATGGAACGCCTGCGAAATCTTCGATGAAATGCATTCTCGGGTGTCTCGAGGACGATCTCTTCCGAATGATAGTAGCATGCAAACGGGTACCAATACACCGACACCTAACCCATTCACGAGCAACACCGTGGATAATATATTTCCGCTTTATTCGCAATTACTCGGACGTCGAATATACGTCGCGTCATCGAAAAATCTTCTTCGATTTGTCATTCGAGGGAAGAACGGCGATGAGGGCACGGTGAAGCCATTATTGTCGGTGAAACGGTGCCCGAACGTTCTCGGACGAGTGCGCTTCTCGAAGAAGGCGTATTTGCACACGGGCCCTATCAATTTCCTCGGAATGCCCTGGGGGCCGGACGACCGCCGACCGTCGTGACGAATGGATAATCGAAACGTCCTCATATACGGGGACGAGAGATTACTTCAAATATTCGTTCATCTTCTCCCATCCCTGATCGCGCACCACCAATCTGCTGCTAGTGAGATCCTCGGGGTTTCCCTGCCTGCGTAGCTGTCCGTGTCTCTTCTCGTCATCATACTTCCCTCGGATGGCGGTATTGCAAATGCAAAATGCCTCGTGATAGCTCGGGGAAATATATGATTTTACGTCAAACTCCTCAAAAAAATGCTTTTCTAGAAAATGAAGACATAAATTATAATAAAACTAAATAAAAGAATATGGACGTGTTTTAAGAA